GCTTGTCTATCATCATATCATCACAGCATTCTGAGATCTGTGAACTAAATCAACTAACACACTCTATGTTTAATACTAGAAAAAAAGCTAAAGAAAGAAAGGAAACATATATGATTCAGTAAGCAACTCTGGGAATGACCACAAATAAATTTATCACTGATTTTTTTTTAATTTCTATTTTATAGGTTTCATCTTCAGCCAGAACCTTCTCAGCTCATCATATTTCTTGATTTTTGTTTCATCTTTTGAGTTGAACTAAATATATATATCTTTTCAAGAAATATATTTTCCTTCTTTTCTCATTCATGTTTTTATTATAGCATAAAGTGAATTTGCTCATTCTATTTTTTTTTAATAGTTGGGGAAAGAGGTTAGGATAATGAATAAGTGTCCAGTTTGCATATCAGATAGACTGGGGCTAAGTTCCATTCAGCTCCTTTTCAGCTGTGACTGGCAGCAAGTTATTTAACATCCATATAAGTCTTTCTCCTCAATTATAAAAATGAAGATTATAATACTAACATTTTTATCTGGTTTATGCTGAGAATTAACTGAGTAAATTAATATATGTAAATGCAATAAATATTAGTTGGTGTTGCTGTTACTATTAATATTATTGTTATTATAATAGCTTTAGACTCTATCAGAAATACAGTGGAACAAAATAACATCCTATGGGACAGTGAATCAAATAACATTCCAGCAAACTTTATATGGCACAGAACTAGAGGAGTAATTCATCCCAGAGGCAAAGGTATACCACAGAGGCAGTTCCTGCCAGATGAAAGCAGGTTACTATTGTTTGTTCTGTGTTCCACTGAAAAGTAATTGCTAGATCAATAAAAGCTTACCTATTGCCAAGGCATATATTTGCGTGCTCTAATAAGCAGAATTCATCTGGATAGCAGGCACAATCATAATTATTAAATGATAAGTATAAAGTAATTGATTATTACTAAAAATGTATTAATCTTTTATAACAACCAAAGTAGTCAAGTGACTAGGAATATGCTATAAATCATACAGCTGGGATCTTTTATGTTTTCAAAGTTTACACTAATCTTCATATCCCTCAGGGATGGAAAATAGCCATATTGTGTTGTTATTAATATTATTGTGATGATGATGATGATGATGATGTAGATGACTGTGTCTATACTATCATAAGTGGAGGTTCCAATAATCAAATAATCACAGTGAGAATCCTGCTATGTGCCAAATATCTCATTCAACTTATACATTCAGGAATTGATGAAAAAATATCACTTTGGATTCAGAAACTTACTGAAATTAACTTAGACAAATTTTGTTAGAATTTGAGTTATCACTTTACTCACCACAATGCCCAGTCTGTACAGTGGAGTTGATTTAAATTTAATTCCTCAGGAATTTGTACTAGCTGAAAGCTTATATCCAGTTACTCTGTAAAGTTTTTTATTCTAATTATATGGAATAAAGCCCCCCAGCATTTTGGAGGAGAGAAGGAAAGCTAAAAGAATGCTAAGAATATGCATGTGTGTTTTTATTTTTACTTTTTTTTGGTATTTGTCTTTTTCAAAGGTTTCTGGACTCCTTTTTATTTGGAAAATTTTTATGGACAAATTGTTAGAGTCTAAAGATTTGGTGACAGTTACTATTACAAATATACAAATTAGGCCTTTGTGATATTTGAGCAAATATTTGGAGGAAGTTAGAGAATAAGCCACTTGGATAACTGTGGATAGGGCTGTTGGACAGAGGAGACTACTTATGCAAAGGCCCTGAGGCATGTTCCAAGAAGCAGTAACAAGTCTAAGGTGGCTTTAGCAGATGAAAAACAGCATAATAGTAAGGGATGAGATCAGAAATACAACAAAGGGACAGATTGCACAGGGCCTCAAGCCTTTTTACAGTCTTTCACTTTTATGTTGTGTAATAAGAGAAACCAAACAAGGGTTCTGAAGATAGACATAAAATGATCAAACTTATATTTTAATTGGATCAAATGGGCTTTTGTGTATAGAGTAGATTGTGGTGAGAAAAAGGAGCAATCACTTAATAACAAAACTTTTGTCTGCAATTTACTCTTGTGGTAACTAAGATTCCTTTGGTTTTTAAGCCACAGAATCCAAATTAATCAAATATAAATTTAAAATGAATGAAGTTTATTTAAATACAATATTTAAATACGATATTTATTTAAATACAATAAATTAAATATACATGTAAATAATTATATAAGGTTTATGGAAAAATATCCTGGAGTAGCTGAAGGATTTTTTAAAAGATTATCTAAACAAATTTTGGAAAATACAGTTACCAGGGCAGTTTCGGAGACCTCTGCAATAAGGGTTTTCAAAACTCCTCTCTCCAGTGCACTGTGAACTGAAGAACACTCCAATCCTGAGTGTCCACTTGTAATTAGAATTGTAGAGAGTGAAAATCAATACCTCAGCCTGGGGCAGAATACTATCCAAGTGTGTCGCTGAGGATCAAAATGTGAGTACTTTTGGCCTAGCCTCAATTACATGTCACTACTTTGGCTACGCAAGAGGAGTCTGCTTCTTAAGGGCGAGACAGACATCGTAGCAGACAACCAGACAAAATACAATATAACACATAGCCACGTGCCCTTAACAATATTTTAGTCAACAACAAAATCATACAAAATGGTGTTCCCTTCAGATTATAACAGAACTAAAAAATTTCTATCGCCTCACTGTTTTAATGCGGTAGCACAGTGTACTACGTTTTCTATGTTTAGATATGTTTAGCTATATAAACACTTACCGTTGTGTTACAATTGCCTAAAGCATTCAATACGGTATCATGCTGTGCAGTTTTCTAGCTTAGGAACAATAAGCCCTATCATACAGCCTAGGTGTGTAGTAAACTATATCATCTAGGTTTGTGTAAGTACATCCTATTATGTTCGCATAATGATGAAATCAACTAACAACACATTTCTCTAAACGTATTCTCATTGATAATCAATTCATGGCTGTAATATAATACAATAATAATCTTACAGAGGAGAAATTTAAAAAAAGAAAGGTACTTTTATTTTTAAGTTGATGCTTATAAAATTATATGTGCAATTATAATTTATATAGAAAACTTCAAAATTAATTTTCTTCTTTAAAAAAAGTAAATCCAAATATTGACAAGAAAATTCTTTCATAAACATTTTGTTTGTTAATCTACAGTGTATGCTGTTTTATTTGGGGGAACAACATTATTTTAGGGGTTGATATTTTTGAACCACTGTCCTTATATTTTGATATTGTTTTTTATCACTGACTTTATATATTCGATAATGTTTATTTTATTGCCAATTTTTTACACAATTCTTAGTCTATTGACCTCTTGCTGCAATTAGACCTATTACTTTAAGGATGATATTAAAGTTATCATCTTGGGATTTCTTTTTATTATATTCTTTGCTCAGGTTCTCTATTTTTTGTAGCCCACATATTCTGCTGTCTTTCTCTTCTTAACAAAAAGAGTCCTTGAGAAGTTAATCACTTGATTCTTTACATATCTGATGGCATCTTCATTCATTCTCACATGTTTGATTGATAGTTTGGCTAGGTATTGATTTTTTAGTTCAGAATCATGTTGTTTTAAAATTTTAGTTTATTGTTTTTATAGCATTTGGTGTATGTGGTAACGGGTCTGATGCCACTCAAGTTCTTGTTCCCTTTGAAAATATATGTATTTTTCCCTAGTTTTGCAGGATAAGGGGATATTCATAGTCAGTGATTTTCTGAAACTTTATCAATATGTAAAATAGGTCAGTCTGTTTTAATTCATCCCACTTGTCACAGCCTGTCTTTTGTTCTAAAGATTAAAGTCTTCCTGGAACTTGGAAAATATTCTTCTATTGTTTGTTTGATGATTTTTCCAGCCTACACTTACCATTTCTCTATTTCTGGAACTCCTTTTAACTGAATGTTAGATATTATAGCTTTATTCTTATGATTTTTAAATCTTTTCTGTCTTGCTGTTTATTTTTCTTTTTGTGCAACATTCTGAGAGATATATGTAATCTTTCAGACTTTTTGCTGCTGTTTTTATTACTACATATATTTTTTAATTGTTAAATATTTACAAAACGTATTATCACTTAGTATTCAAGTGATAAACTCAGAATGATCTCTTGAAATACTCCATTGAAAATAATAATTTTAAAAATTTCCTTCTATGCATACTATAATGGATTTTGTAAATTTTAGGTTAGATTTCACAGATGATCAGTGGTATAATCTAGTTAAGTATTGCTTGATATTTCTATAATAACTCATATTAACATTTTCAGACCACACTCCACAGAAAAATCATACACAAGATTTAAATAGGTATTCCATAAAAAAGAAGTGATGGGGAAAAGTTTTTCAGAAATGCTACATCACCATTTATCCTTTACAGATATTTAAAATTGATAGTATAATATTATATTTCAAAAGTGCTTCACTGAAGAATCCGTTTGTTGTGCTTAATAACTATTTTGCAAAAAAATTTTATACTAAATCATTTTTCAATGCTTGTTAATGTTTTCTGATATACTGAACAGAATAGTTTAAATAATGTTCACCAAAGTAATAATTGTAAAGGTGATAAAAGTCCAAGTGGAATTGCTTTGCAAAATGTAGGTGTGATTCTGAAATTAAAGGGTTCATTTATTAAAGTGTTTGTTAAGCCTTGTCATACTGTATAGAAGCATTTAGAAATGTGATTTTCCCCCTAGGTTTTAAGAGACAGAATTTTGTTTTCTTTCTTGGAAATTGAATATATTTAACATATTTCACAATAAGGAATAAAATATAACCTTATGAGACAGAGATATTAAATATTAAGTATGAGTCACTTTGTGTCACTGAACACTTAATTAAGGAGACAGCTCCGGCCAGCAATTCTCAGAAAGCCATGGGTGTGACTTATGAGACAGAGTTAAGGGATGAAAGGAAGCCATCTCTTTTGAAATAGTTGATTTTGTAACAGTTTTAAAAATACATATTTACCTGAGTAATCAGTAAGTATAGTTGTGTAGCATTCACTTTTCATGAAATAAAGCTCCACAATCATCATTCACCATCAATAGGCAATAATCTGTTTAGAACTAAAGATATGATGAAGTTCAGTCATATGTGTTGAGTTTTGAATAACGCAAACAAGTTACCCTAATTGCCTCATAATTTTTTTCAACAAACATGTAACAGAGTAATCAGAGCAATATGCATTTTTGCATATTTGAAAACCATTTTTGCCCCTGAGGAAAAAAATATATATGTTAGCATGTTGGATTCTACATTTTAACCTAATTTTTCTTTCCTGATGAGATTTTGAATTTTATAAAAGTGTTTGCACCAACAGATTTTTTGAGCTAAATGTAGACAGTTACCTTAGAAAGCTAAGGTTGATATAATTATTATTATTATAAATTTATATATATTTGTTTATAAACCACAATTATATATGACATTAGCTCAACAATTCAAATGATTCAGTTATCTTCTACATATATAGTGATAAAACTAAAATATTTGAAATATTTATTTTTATCACTTGATATTCACATTTCAATTGAAAGCATTACTGTTCAGAAGAAATGATTATAACACTACTGAAAGTGGAATATATATATATATACACTTTCCTGCTTAATATTATGTTTAATTTTTCTAGTTACTTTTATTTCCCTTCCTCCCTTCCTTCATTCTCTTTCCCTCCCTTCTCCCCTTCCTTCCTTCTTCCCTTTCCTTCCTTTCTTCCCTCCCTGCCTTTCTTCTTTCCTTCCTCTCTTACCTCTCTCCCTCCCTGCCTCCCTCCCTTCCTTCCTCCCTTTCCTTCCTTTTTCCCTCCCTCTTTTCCTTCCTTCCTTCCTTCCTTCCTTCCTTCCTTCCTTCCTTCCTTCCTTCCTTTCTTCCTTCCTTCCTTCCTTCCTTCCTTCCTTCCTTCCTTCCTTCCTTCCTTCCTTCCTTCCTTCCTTCCTTCTCTTTCTGCCTTCTTTTTAAAAACATTTTAAACAGCTCTAAATTTTCTGCATTTGAAGCAAGTACAATTGATGACATCTAAAAATTACCATTTGCCAGGAAGTCATTGTGAAATATTTGAAAATGGACTGTACATATATGAAACTAGTCACAGTATTTTCATACTATTTTCACATCAATTAATTTATGCATGATTTTTATAACATACTTTTTAATTTAACTATCACTGGAAGTTTCATAGAAAATGCTATGACTTGGCAATCAAACAAATGATTATTGGGTATATGTAAAGGCATGAATACAAAGTAATTAGAATCTAATTTGATATATCAGTAAAGAAAATACATATCATGGAAGAATAGCTATAATTCCATATATATTTGCAAAACAATAATGTGGTTTATAGGACTTAGAAAGGAAGATGCTGAAAAGTAATGGAAGCCATGGTATGTTTTGTAACTGAGATATCTCTAAGTGGTTTGCTAGAACATGTCACACAATAACACTGGAAGAAAAATGATTGACAAATTCCCCAGACCCTTTTGAAAAGAATTTCAAAGATACAATAGGTTGGTTTGAGAAAGTATCATTAAGGCATTGTATCATTGCCTATTTGATTTTTTTTTTTTTTTTTTTTGCTGGTGGTGGTACTTAGGAGAGTGATTCATTTTTCAATTGAGGGCATCTTCGGTTTTATTATGATAAATATTATACATTACACTTTGATGAGCCTATATTTCTTGCTTCCCTTTTTTGAATATTTGTGGAATAATAAATTTATAAATCCAACATCAATTCAATATCTTCTCTTTAATTTCTACTTAACTTTTTCTTTCCCCCAAATCACAAATTACTTAAACTGAAATACCATGCCCTGGTCAGACACTGTAAGGGAAACAATTTTAACTATGTACATAAGTACAAAATAGAATATATATAATATAACAGACATTTAATATAACCTATCTTCCATTTTATTTGGTTTGTGCAAAGACATGAACTGAGAACTTGTTTTCTTTTTCTCTGTATCTACATGGTAGCAGTCAGTTCAATCAAACAACCAGTAAACATGTCCTAGTTTTTAAGTGATACAGTAAAATTATCATTATTTTAGTACCTTTTATCATAGGAAAATCATTTTTATCAATATTTAATTGAACAGGCCATCAGAAATCATTGGGGGAAAGGGATACCAATAGTAAAAGAGAGGAACTTCAGGCAAATTTTAGAAAATAAAAAGTATGGTAGATTTAACAGAGTATAGGGAAAGTAATCCAAAGTTTCCATCCTCTATAATCTCCTGACTCAGATGTTTAATAAACCCAGGAAATGAACAGTAAACAAGCACTTTCTCTCTTGGTTAACTGAAATGATGGCTGGATTTAGACTCAGAGCACTTGGGTATTAGTTTTTTTCTGTATGTGTCACCTTTCATTTTATCTCCTTTGATTTTTACTACCCTGAGATCTCAACTTTAACGTCAAAAAACTAAGGAAAACACTGCTGACCTCACAAGGCTATTGCCAAGATAAGAATAGAGTAGTGTATGGAAAGGGGCTTTGTGAATTTAACCAAAGGATTACAAGGGAAAAATTGACCACAATGAAGATTTTAATCCAATTGCTTGCTATTGCTGCCAACAGGTTAAATGGTATATTGCCATCATTACTCATTAGTATACTTATATGTATTTATTTCTTTAAGAAATACATGTTGATCTTGTATTGTGTTAAGCACTGGCTATACTGTGGTGAACAAGAGAGATAAAATGTTTGCATTTATGGTGCTGACCTTCAGAGTATAGCAATGGTCAGATGGGGGAAGGGAGATGGTATTAGATGCATCATGACAGACTAATCTTAATACTCCAGGTACAATATGGCAGAAAGGGGAATCATTCATGTAGAATGCTCTGGAATGTGGAAGAGCTTGGCACAGTCAAGGGAATGGACAAGGGCCAATGTGGCTGCGGGGTAAGGAAGGCAAGGTTCTCCCTTAAGGCTAGAGGCATTAAGAATTGATGAAGGTTTTAATCTACCTCATTTTCCTTCTTACTTCCTGTCCTATGGACTACTATTACATACTATTTAGGTTGATGCAAAAGTAAGTCTGGTTTCAGACTGTGAATTTTAAATCATTATAACTAGGCTCAAGTACATTTTTATTTACCAAAACAGGAGCCATTACAATCAAAACAATGAGAAATAATTTTTGCCAATGAGAAATAAGTTTTTTTATTCCTGTAGTGTAAAAATCCGTGCTTGAGAATTCAATGAATTTTTGGAAAGCATTTTCTGCATCCTGCTGGTTGAGGAAGCGTTTTCCCTGCAAAAAGTTGTCGAGATGCTTGAAGAAGTGGTAGTTGTGAAAGATCAGGTGAATATGGCGAATGAGGCAAAACTTTGTAGCCCAATTCGTTCAACTTTTGAAGCATTGGTTGTGTGACATGCAGTTGGGCATTGTCATAGAAAAGAACTGGGCCCTTTCTGTTCACCAATGCCAGCTGCAGGCAGTGCATTTTTCAGTGCATCTTATTGACTTGCTGAGCATACTTCTCAGATGTAATGGTTTCTGGGATTCAGAAAGCTATAGTGGATCAGACTGGCAGCAGACAACCAAACAATAACCATGACCTCTATTTGGTGCAAGTTTGGCTTTGGGAAGTGCTTTAGAGCTTCCAACCCCTGAGCTGTTTGTCCCTGGTTGTCTGATTGTTGTATACGATTCACTTTTCCTCCCACATCACAATCTGATCAAGAAATGGTTTGTTGTTATTGTGTGCAATAAGAGAAGATGACACTTCAAAATGACAATTTTTTTTTTATTTTCAGTCAGCTGATGAGGCACCCACTTATGGAGCTCCTTCACCTTTCTGATTTTCTTCAAATGCTGAATGACTGTAGCATGTTCTATGCTGAGTTCTTCAGTAACTTCTTGCATAGTTGTAAGAGGATCAGCTTTGATTATTGCTCTCAATTGGTCGTTGTCAACTTCTGATGGTCTGCTGGCCACTGTGCTACTCATCTTCAAGGCTCTCCACTCCTTTGAAAAACTTCTTGAACCACCATTGCACTGTATGTTCCTTAGCAGTTCTTGGGCCAAATGTGTTGTTGATGTTGCGAGTTGTCTTCACTGCTTTACAACCCATTTTGAACTTGAATAAAAAAAAAATCACTCAAATTTGTTTTTTGTCTAACATCATTTCCATAGCCTAAAATAAATATAAAATAAACTGCAAGTAATAAGTCATTAGGAAAAAAATATGAAGTGAAGAATGCACATTAAATGATGCATAATCACGTTTATTTCAGAATGTATTCCAATATCAAATGGCAAATTTCAACAATGCTAGCACCATAATTACTTTTGCATCAACCTAATACATACTACAGCATCAGGCTTGAAGACGGTGGTATTATAGAGACTGCTTAGCCAGCCCCCATAATTGTATAAGATCAAAAACCTGAAATAAGTAAAACACATAAACACATAAATAAAATTATATATATTTGTATGTATATAACACAATTATTTGTTATAAATATTTAAACTATTTCTAATAGTTATACTAAATTTCTTGTGTGCTAAGTCTATGCCTTACTCAATTTCCTTATTTCATTTTATTTTTTAATATTTTCCTCATGTAGTTCACAGTTCTGTTTCTTTGCATGTCTAATGATAGTTTTATTATTAATAGACTCTAGACATTGCATATGCTTTGTTGTTGACTGCTTAGATTTTGTTGACTTCCTTTAAAGAGAACTGAAGTTTGCTTTGGAAGGCAGTTAAGTTACAAAAGGAGACTTTTTTTTTTAGTTTTTTATTTTTGTTTTTGTTTTATTTATTTATTTTTGGCTTTGTTAGAAGAGTCTGAAGTAAGCTTCACTCAAGGACCAATGTAGTTTTATTACACAGTTGTGGCCCTTCTGAGGTTTCTATTGATTATCCTAAGGGTTTGCCAGTATTTCTTTACTTTCTCTGGACAGAATTTGAGTGTCTTCCAACCTGCGTGTAATCTGGGAATTAGGATTCTTATAACTTGCTTACAGTTGGTATTGTTTGTTTGCGGAGTTTTGCCTTATCTGCATGCAGATTAATATTTAGCCAAGAAAAACGGGGACCCCCATATGTATTCTCTCAAATCCCCTTTTTTCTGTTACTCTACCCTGCAAATTGTAGCATTTTCAGTCTCTCCAAACTCCAGTCTGTGTCTCTTCAATGCAAGACTACCATGCTGTGCTTTGCTTCTCTGTTTTTATTCTGCAATCCAGTACTTATATCTGGACAAAAAAGAAAAGCAATTCAGGGCACAACTCAGTCTCTCAGGAAACATAATTCTGCAATTCATGTCATTCCAATGAATGAAAACATTACTTTACACATTTAGTCTAAATTTCCAGTTGTTTGCATTAGGAAACAAGCTGCATATCATTTATTCTTTTATAAGATTTGTAACAAACATTGATTAAAGAAAATAAAAAGCAAAGAACATGCATTTCTGTATAATATTTGAAATAGTATTAATGTAGGATGAAATTGAAGCAACAGGCATGAACATGAGAGAAAGAATTTTCTGAAAGGCAAAGGAGTTTTGCAGTTAGTACATATCTAAGAGGTGGACAGCTAAGAAGCATTTTAAAATAACAAAATAGGGATTAAAAAACAGGTGGCTTATGCAGAGACATTAACCACTTTTTCTCCCAACATCCAACCACAAATATGGTACAGAGGGGGTAGAGCACAGTGGTAGAGCATTTGACTGCAGAAATACAGAAAATACAAACATTTACAAGAGAGGAGACAAAAGCAGATAAATATTTCAGCGATTCATTTGAATTATACAATGCAGTAGAATCATTAACTGACTTAATTAATAAAAACATTTAATGTAAATGTATTTCAAGAGACCTAGCTATAAACAACCAAGCTTATTCATCCTGTTGACCTATGAGAAACTCAGCACTTGGAAGAACCATTTTAGTGATGACAAAATCATTGAGGTCAATTTTTGTTCATTTATTAGCTTTTGCTATAAGAAAGATATTTAAATGCATTTAGGTAACTTCTTTAAATATAAACTGAATATTTATTTCTAAAATCTACATGAAAAATTCTCATTTGTACAAAAAAATCTGATATTTCATACTAATAAAGCTGGTCCACATATTTTCATTTTCTCTCAAACTGAGCCTGTATGTAGATACCAAGAAATAATTCATATACTTATTACTATGTTTAAAGATATGTAGGTGAGTACTAAAATGTCTGCTATTTCCTTTAATATCTCCGATAATATTTATTTGTTCTCTTTTTATACCATCCACAATTGTTTTCCTCAGAGGAAGATGTCAAGGTATTGCAATTCAAATAACTAAATTGTTGGTGCAATCAACTATAAATATGAATATCACTCTATTTTTTTAGACTCATCTTAATAAATGGTCTGGTTACCACTGAGTAAATTTGAATGAACATCTATTAAGTGACATAGAAATGGATAGTATTGTATATTTGGGAAAGAAGGAGCAATGGAACACAGCTGAACATGAATATTGCACTTGCTGAAAGGTATAATAATATAAGGTAACTAAGACCATAAAATGTAGAATTTCTTTTGTTAAATCATTATAAAATATGTCTTGTAGTCTGAGAGAGAAGAATTAATACGTCTTATAAAAACTTAGTGGTTATCATTGCATGTATACACAAAGACACCTAATTGCTCCTATTTAGTTTATCACAGTAGCAATAGCAAGATTTCATAAATTAATCACTTTACACTGAGTAAAGAGCATTGTAAAAGCCTGGATATAGCATTATTAAAATTTATTTGCCTTCCAACTCAAGCCACTAAGAAAAGGAATATGAAGGCAAATGTTTGTTAACTTTGAAAACCTAGGTCTCACACGTTCTCTTCACGTATATTTAAGAACATTGGTTAGAGTAAATGACCAAGAGTTTGAGAAAATATATCCCTGTTAATAGATGTTTATACCTATTACCAGAAGGGTCAACTTTCCTTCCTTCCCCACTGGAATGGAATTGCAAAATATATTTCTGTAGCTATTATGAGAACAAGAGGACTTTAATATAATGCTATTCTCAGAGTCCTAATGGGTAGAACAGTGCAATGAAGGGAACTTCTGGTGTTTGTAGCAATAAAATCCCTTGGAGAGAGTCCAAAATCCATTTGCCTAATACTGAATTGTGTTCCTAATGCTGTTATAGTGGCATTTCAGTCTATTCCACAAGAACAGATGCCCGCTGTTTTGGTTTTGCAGGTTTTCACAGGAGACTGGCTATGTCTACTCATTAAATGGCAGAACAATTTAGAAAATATCTCTAGCCATAAATTCTTCATAAAGTGATTAAGAATAAAACTTCTACAGTAACATAATCAGAACTATGTATAATTCCAGTCTTTCCAAATTGTTTTGCCAGGCTGATGAAGAATCTGAATTAATTTGACTATAAATCAAAACCACAATAACTTTTATAATATTTATGTAGCCATACATACCAACACAATTGGATTCATTAATTTTGATATATATTGAGAAATAGATGTTAAAACTTATCATCTAAAGTATCACATCTATTTTTAAATCTATGTCATGATTGTTTTTCAATATACTAATGTTCAAATAATATTTTTGTAGAACCAAGATAGTAATATTTTCTGATTCAAATACCAACAAATCGTAGTTAATTTTTATGTAGCCATCAGTGATAGATTAATAGATAGAAGTTTCTGCTACTAACTGGAGATTGTTATTCTGATCCAAAAGAAGGACACACGTCTTTTGGAAGTAGCAATAGTCCACATTGGTATTTTAGTTTTTGCTCAAAGAACTTGAAAAACAGTACAAAACTTATCATTACATATCCAATTCCGGTCAATTTCAATTGTGCTCTTGCTGCTGTTTATCAAGGCTATAATTAATTTGTTTTTGATTCCCTAGCTAATTCACCACATGGGATTTTCTCTCTTACCTCTTCAATGCTCTAAGCTGATAATCACTCCGTCTTCCATACAACGTAAAAGGCTAAGAAGACTATACAATTTAGTTTCAGAAAATCAGAGTTTTTATTAAGATTTTTCATTTATTAGCTGTGTTGTTTTGTTTAAGTCACAGTACTATGTCTGTCTATTTTCATCTATAAATATTAATGGTACTTAACTCTCAGGAATGATGTGAAAAGAAAATGTGAGCCTAAATGTTGAAGTGTTATGTGTAGCCCCTTGTCAATAAATCATAGTACGAGATAGTGTTTCTCAAAGTACAGTCTTGTGAAGAGCAGTATCAGAATCACTGGGAACTTGTTAGAAATGTAAGGCCATCAAACCCCATCCTAGAACTACTGAATCAGAATCTCTAGTGGTGGAGTCTAGTAGTCTGTGTTTTAAAAAGCCTTAAAGGTGATTTGGGTGCTTAGTTAAAGTTTGAGAACCACTGGTATAAGGAATGTCACTTGTTTGGGGTTCACTGGGTGCACTAGAGTCGTGCCTGCTCTATAGTTTTTTTAAACAAATTCTTGTAATTTATATTTACAATTGGTGAAGACATCAAATTGTGTTAGGATCTAGGAAATACTGCTGCTTTGGTCCAATTCAGAATTTTCTTCTTATATTGTTTAAGTTCTGGTGACTTTTATTCTTTTTCCTCCTTCCTTCTTATCCTTCCCTCCCCTACCCACTTCTTCCTTTCCTTTTTCCTTCCTTTCTTCCTTTGATGTCTTATATCATCATATTTGTCACATATCATGTTTGTTTATAATATATAGTTCTGTTGGTAGTACTAGTACTATGTAGAATATATAAAACTTCTGTTGGCTTTTGTGCATGAATAGTTTTAGTTGCAATATAGAATGTTTTTTTTCTCTGAGTTGAGGGGGGAAAAATGCCTTATATAATGCCTGCCTTTAGTTCTCTCTCTCTCTCTCTGTGTGTGTGTGTGTGTGTGTGTGTGTGTCTCTTTCTCTCTGTCTCTCTGTCTCTCTCTCTCTCACACACACACACACGCACACACACATCTCTTATTTTTTCTATATTCTGTCTTCCACCAACACTGCTTTAACGTTAATGGTTTCATGTTTTATGGTTCATTCCTTTGGGCAAAAAGACTAAACACAAATTGTTTACAAGCTAAAAAATGGTCTCCCATCACAAAGAAATATATCTTTATTAAAGAACTCTAGCTGCAATTATTTATGGTTTTCCTATTCAACCATTCCTTTCCCATTGTTTAGTAATTTGCAAAAACATTCTTATACTATAAAATGATATGCATTGTCTTTCAATTCTGATTTTTATCTCTTATTTTAACAGTCTTGTTGATAATATAAAAATATTCAAGTATAATGTGATTTTTAACATGATTTATTATATGCCAGGTAAAAGTTTCACATGCTTTAACTTACTTAATATTAATTATAACTTTATGAATAAGAGCTATTATTATCTCCACTTCACCAAAGAGCAAACTGAAGTAATGGGAGTTTAGTGACATGTTTAAAAATCATATAATAATAAGTGGTAGAGCAGGATTTTAAATTATGATGAACTTGTTACAGAGCCCTGGGTCTTACCTGTTTCAAGACAATAGTAAACTCGTTACTTAAGAGAAGCAGTTATCTGCAACTCCACTTCAATCATCTCAATTTGTTTTTATTAATATTTTCCTTTTAGCAGGGCTAGGGGAAAGTATAGATATTACCCTAAGGGTTTACCTAATTTTGAATTTTAATGTTTGAACATTTGAGGGAGATAGACATGGAAGACTCACCTCTTAATTGTCAAGTTACTATTTCTGAAGAAGAAATGGCCATTTGGCATAAATAGCCCCAGGAGGAGATAAAGCAGAAATTGGTTTACTTCTCCTTTACCCTTACCCTTATCATTTCAGAACCTCCACTGCTTAGAACTCCACAACAGAGAAGTGCCTGAATTCAGAGGTACCTGATGGGGATGGAAGAGAATGCCCCATTATTCATTTCACTTGAGTATATATTTGATCTACTCTTTTCCTTTGAAAAATGTGTAACTTTAAGATACTTTATTTTATATTATATTATTATTTAATTAGTTCATGTTTGAATTCTTATCACATGTTATCTTCTTTCTCTTCTTTCTTCAACTTTCTGAGTTTACTTCTTTGGCTTTCTTTTATTTATCTCTTCCTTTTTTCCCCCAAAACTTGATTTTTTTAGGGCAGGGAATAGGCTAAGGCCAATTAAGTGTTTGCTCTGGGAAGAAAATTTAAGA